ATTTCCATACCAGACACCTTCTAAAAATACCAGATTTGTGAAATCTGGTATAGAAATATACCATCCGGCAATGCTGATTCTTTGTCGCTAGCTAGCCGTGCGGTTTGGCTGACAACAGTTCGTAACTACACATAAATATTGGAGTCACGTACAGGAGTGATTTGGAATTCTAATTTATTACACGAGGTGCAATTTCGTATTCTAACATCCTAAAATTGTACCACAACGTTGCATAATTTAGGCCCTTTAGCATAACATAAGGTTCATCCCTCATCATCAGTCCTGCTTACCAGAACAGCCCACTGAATCTACCAATGCTGGTCGAATGACGCACACACCTTAGCAACCTGGATCACCGCACACACGAGTATACGAACGACAACACAGGATCGAAAGAGAGCGAATTCCACAGCCCATTAGCTCTAATCATTCTCTTTACCATTAGAAACTTTCACCACAGGTTATCGCCACTCGTTTGCACATGTGAGCAAAAGGGTGAGGACGCCCACCAGAGCAAGTACCTTGCCGCAGATCAGCTATACTGAGAGAAACTTCGGGTGGAACCAGCTACTAGATAGTTCGATAGGTCTTTCGCCCCCTATGCCAACTGACGCCATGGATTTGCACATCACAACGGCTACGGGCCTACACCCCAGTTTCCTGGGGCTTCACCCTCGCCAGGCATAGTTCACTATCTTTCGAATCATAGCATATGTGCTCCGCGGTCTCACCGTCTAGCCCGCAACTCCCGCGAAGGAGAAGCTTGCCTAAACAAACAATCGTGAGCCCGGAGCTTGCGCCTATCCCCAGCATGGGAAAGCAGGATCAGCTCGAAACTAGCAACCTTTTTGACATGACTGACGGCGCAGCAATGCGCCACCACACCTTTCCTTACACTTCGCCCTGAGGTTTTGTGAGATCCTTAAGGCCCGTTTACACTAGTGGCAACGACATGCGCTTTGAGTCGTTTGCTGCAGTGCCTCACAGCGCACAACCGTTCACACTACTTTTGTACTCGGTAGTTTGAGACCGCGCGCTTTGAACAGTAGTTGCCACCTAGACGTAAATGGGGATGGATGTAACCGAATTTGAGCTGTGGGCCATTGTTCTCGGGTGTGCTGCGGTCCGTCATTCTTCGCACTATGCCAGTTATAAACGAGAATTTAACATAGGCATCATAATAAGAGAACTAGCACATTAAAAAAGATACAGTTTATAAAAAATATAGTCTATTCTTAAATAAAAAGTTCCAATATTCGTACCGATATTATATCATCCTTTGAAATCGCTAAACGGTAATGCATAAATTGTCAGGAGTTGCTAAAATCACATAAACTAAACACGTCATGTAAAAATAACTTACATCATTTGCGTTTCGATTTTTGTACTCCTTTGACCGAACACTCCATAGGCATTCATTTTCTCTATAAAGATCAATAAGGCTCTCCACTAGAGAGTGACTCCAAACGAGAGTGGTGTTAGTCGACATTTAGTGTGCCGGACCAGCGTACACAATCAACCGTACTAGACCACAGACAGCTATCTATTAACTAAGAATTTAAAAGCAAAGAATAGTCCACAAAAATTCATATCTTTATAGAAAACGTTTCGGAGACCAGCTCCATCGTCAGTTCGTAGAATCACAAATCAGAAGTCACAAATTAATATATTGAAACCATAGAACGAATTGAATTTCTTTAATTAATTTAGATTTTTAATTTGATTTAAATTTTTAATTTAATTTAAATTCTTAGTTTATTTGCGATTTAAGCATACAAGTGATATCAATTCTTTAATAGCTATCTACTAAGCGCCGCCTTGTGTTGCATGAGGCATGGCCCCTGTCAATCGCTAGCTCGTCAATCGGTCAAGAGCGAAGCGCATGCAGAGGCTGCAAAGCGCCTCTGCATGCGCTTTGAGGCACTTGATTCTCGTGTGTTGACCCTAGTGTGAACGGGCCTTTAGACTTCACACATGCTATACTCCTCAGTCCTCGGCCCGTGTTTAGAGACGTGACCGATGGTCGCCCTGAACATCAATCAGACCAGCATTCCAGGCTGAGCGTATAGGTGCTTATACACGGGGCTATAGGTTGCGTCTACTACAGTTTTGCAGGCTGCGAGCCTATACACGAGTATAGTGTTTTCGGTACACTGCGCCCGCGTCAGTGCGACGTTGGGAGTTGTCGAGTAAGGGTGGGCACGGTGGAGTCATGCGAGTGCAAGACAGCAGTGCGCGCTACAGTGGGCTAGAGAGAGAGAGAGCGACGCAGCTATGCTCGGTAGGACGGCCAAGCGGCTACTGAGCGCAATAGAGAATAGACAGTTATAGACTGCTTCAAAACAGCTCTAGGTGCTCTGCCAGCAAGTTGCCTCTGAACACGTCAAGTATCAAATTTTAGTAGCCTCTCCAAGTTGACGCAACTTATATACGCAAATAATAGCCCCGTGTATAAGCACCTTAAGCTTCTCATGTGCGCAAGCAGCCTGCCTGCAGGTACCCACCCGTCGGCTCATGGGGAGGTGAATTGGGAGCTGTATTTGTGTGGCCAAAATGCCAATTGCCGTTTCGTCGCAAAATGGATCACACCACGTCCACAAGGCGGCAGTCAGAGCCAGATTTCACAAGCGTGACGCGAGCCATAACCCACGCATGGACAAGCCACACGTGCGGGATTTTGCCCATCCGCGCGTCAACTTCAATAGCCTGGAAACTGGATAAAAGATCCTGCACATCAAGACTCAGCGAGTGACCAAGCAACGAGCTGTGGTGGGCAATGACCGTGTGATGCTTCGAGAGGTTCGCCCAGCACGAAACCGCCAGAGGAGCGATGCAAGGCCGCATGCCTGTGAAGAAAGCCCAAGAACGATCTCGCCTGCATCAGGTATGAGCAACACTTAGCAGGCACTGCCTCCCCAACTAACATTCCAAGCATTTCGGGCAGCGCCAGCCGAAGCCAACGCCACTGTGCCACAGGTTGCCTTCCAGCGCCATCGGTTTGTACTCTGAGCGGTTTCACGGTCTTTTTTGATCAAGTTTACAACCTGCAAATGGTAACATTCGCATTTACGAACGGATCACTTTGAAACTTGGTAAACATGTGTAAAACAGAAATCTAAGACTTTTTTGTTTGTGTAAATATTTCGAAAAAATGAAAGAGAGCGTGAAATTTATAGAAAACGGCAAAAAATGGGGTACTGTAAAAAGCTATCTCCTAGGATTTTCAAGCTACAACCTTGAGACACACATCTTTCGAAGCGTAAAAACCAAATCTAGCAATCCGTCGTAGTTTTTCTCGAATTTCTCATTTCTGTGGTGGGGAGGGATTTTTCTCCCATTTTTTATTCACCACCCCCCCCCCACCCGCCTCCTCGCCGCTTTTGCAAAATATAACTATAACGAAATTACAAAAGAGCTACAACCGTTCTCTAGATATTTTCTTTGCGAATCGAATGGTATATCTCAATGCTGGAGCTTGAAAACTGTAGGAGGAGATAGGTTTGCAGTGAGAGCAGGTGCAAGTGTTCAGCAGATACGATAGATCGCCCACCGTTCGCTAAATATATGCAGTTATCCTAGCTAGGATTCTAAAGTTTGGCGTTATTTCATTATAAAGTAGATACATGATAGCTCGAGCGTGACTGAAGCTTCGCCCCGGCCGACAGAGCGCACATAAATGTGAACGGAGCTAATTTTGCCTCATAGGCAACTGTTAAAGGCTCTGCGCAACGTAACATTTTCGCGATCTGTCGTGGGCGCATAAATCAACGTACAGAGATGATTTTGGTACCGTTGGATGTGTCAGAATTGCAGCTATAAGACGAGCATAAAAACCGGAAAAGCCAGAATTTTCCTTTTTTACCCAGGTGCTCCTAGAGCTGCATGTGCAAGCGACGCGACTCACAGGGAGAAAGGCCTGACGCTCTCACAGTAAATCGCATGCGTCCACACTGGACTGTCAGTGTCACCTCCACGGAGCCACAACCACTCCTTTCTTCGGGAACGCCACTCGTGGCAGGATTTAGCGATCGCGTAGCTGTGGGGTTTTGAAACGACCTCTCCCTTAACGCAACATTACGCCGAAGGCTGAGGCCGTTGGGCCCGGAAGGTTCTGCGCTGGGCTCTTCCTTGTTCATTCGCCCTTACTAAGTGAATTCCTGTTGGTTTCTTTTCCTCTGCTTACTGATATGTTCTTTGATTGAAGTAGCATCGGAACGTATAAACTCTCGGGAAATGTCTCTTACTAATCCATAAAAGCTGTATCGTACTAGGGGATTTTCTCTTCCTGGCAATCTGCATGTCTACGAAATCTCACAATTCAGTTCATTTTCGCACAGAACAGCTGAAGGCTTACCAGCTCAGTCAAGAGCAGAATATGTACGGATCTGGATCCTAGGAATCATTCAGCAGCTGAAATCCTGCGTGCTACATCTGCAACTTCTGTCAGTAATATACCTGTCTGTGATTCTTACGAAGATTCGCCAGACGACGCTAGTTCTAGCGTCGGAAAAGAATCTCCTGAGGCAGTTTCTAGTATTTTGATGCTGAAATATTTGCAAGTCACCCTCATCAACTCGTTGTTAACTTACACGCTTCTTTAAATGCTCCAATTGAGGTCTCCTCCAAAAATTTACGTGGTGACAATCTTGTCACAGTGCACAATAAATTAAGGAGGATTGCGGATTTTTTTCACTATACTTCAAACTTTAATTGTTCCATTCCTTCGCATTCAAAACTCTGTATCTTCCATTCCCTTACATGCAGAACAGCATATTTAATGACTGCATGTTATCAAATCAAGATGAATTAAAAAAAAAATGTTAATTCGATGGAGTGTTTTTTCACAGTTTTATTTGAGGAACTGGATGAATTATATTTCACTCTTATATGAGGGCGCTGAAATAACCTGGAAAATCTCTATTGTTGTTTGCTTGTGTAAAATGGAACATCTTTTTTCATAAAATTTATTTGTCAGTCGATTTAAATAGTTAATCGAGTTTGTTGTACATCGGTTCAAGGAATTAAGTTACAGATTTACTAATCAGTCTCACGTAATCTTTTCCTAAAGCTTTTATTCAATTATAATAATAATTTTTTCTAATTTAACTGAATCTTCAAGACTCAGGTCAGGTGTGGACACCAGGAAGTGAGCGCGATTCTTCATCGCCCACCATGGCCTCTGAGCTCCAACCCAAGCGCCGTAAGAAGTGGAGGAAGTCCAACAATCAGGAAGACAAGCTCATCCTCCAGTTCTTTGTTGGAACGAATCATCAGAGAGAGGTGACGGTGAGAGGTGAGTCACCACAGTCACCAATCCCCTCCACAGTAACCATATCCCCTCCATAGTCACCATATCGCCTCCACAGACATCCTGTCGTGCATTCCCAACAAATAATCTCTTTGTGCATTAATGGAAATAAAATTACGAACCGTTTTCTCTCACTTATTTTCTCTTTGGTTGTTATACAAAATATTCCCAATATTGTGGACGAATTTTTGGGAACGATTTCGAGGCGAAGAAGACCGCGAATAAAATTTTTTTAGATGTTTAATTTTTGCGTGAAAATTGCGGAACGACAAAAATCTTCCTTCTACGTAGAATAACTGCTCAGTGCAACGCCTATGAATCATAATGAAAGCAATCACTTCTGATCAATTCCAGCCAGGACATTTTTGTTAAACACTTTCTAAGTTCGAAGCACAAAATTGAGTATTCGAAGCACAAATGAAGTAAAGCAGAAATTATCAGTTGGATGAAATTCTGTCCGCTATGTTAAGCTTCGTTACGAAAGACGTTAGAGGCACTAGATTCAAACAGATTTCAATTTGATAATTGAATTATGTCGTCCATCTTAAACACGGTAATAAAAGCGCTCAAATATTTTTTCGTGTCAATTTACATATATTATTTTTCTACTTATAGTTATGTTGAAGTAAAATACCTTTTTTTCTCGCTGTAAAGTCCTTTATTTTGCACTGACAAAAACAAAAGCAGATAATTTTTATTAATTACATGTGCCTCGTCTTGATGCTACTCCACTCCAACTCAATAGGAAATAAACATATCAGTAAACTTGTAAGCTCACTGGACCAATCAACGTTACTTTTCATCAATTCTTCTTTTTGTTAATCCGAAATATTGACTTCCAAAGTCAGTTTTGTAAATAAACTAGTTAATGGATTGAGATAAAACATGTAGTCAAAACTAATTAAAATTATTTATTAAACTGTTGATAAGACTGTCAGGAAAACCCGGAGAGATGACAGGTAGGAAAACTTGCATCCATAAATAGATATTCAAGCCTAAAGTCAAAATCGATGGATAAAACGGTCCGACGTTACAGATGGAAGAACCTGCATGTTGACTAAACTAAAGCTCAACTCTTATGTGGAACTGTTTGAAAATGAAGGTACAGGACCGGTAACATGCGTGATATCAAATACTGAGTTTGGCAAATGTGATGAAACAGACGAGCGGCCGCAGAGGCGAACTGATCTATCTCCTAGTCTTCAACCACTCATCCTCCATGATCTGCATGTAGACAAACGTTGGCCAGTAGATAAAGTTGAAGATGATGAATATAGCTGGGAACAAGAGGCGGCTGATGCGGTCCACGAGCAGCGCGTAGAACATGTACGTCTCGCCCTCACCCTGACGCTGCAAAAAATAATCGTTGAGCTCATTTAGGTTGAGCAGTTTGATCATAATTGTAGTGAGTAATGATTAATATTTTAAATGACCTCGAATTATTCTCTCGCCAACGACTGCAGTTATGCTTTAGCGGTTATCTTACGGGTTCAATGTCATCATTAATTCACAGAATTTATTCATGCTCTTAAATCAAGGTACTAAATAATATTGAAGCACGCGCGTAGAATTCGACCGTTCAGCATGCCTAAAAATACGTTTTTTCTTTATTCAATATTTAAAAAGAATGGCTAATGACAAAATCTGTCAGTATTCATTGGATGAAGAAAATATCCTCAAATTGGGGAACGAACTTAAAAAATAAATAACAATACCGCATGGAATTTAGTCCATGAGGACAGCACCTAAAAGACAACGTTTGCTGATCCGCGTTCCTGGAAAAAGTTCCTACCAGCAGGGCTGCAAAAAAACGTGTTTTTTTCCAAATTGCTCAATCTACCCGGGTTTCCTAAAAAAAACTCAGGGTTCTATTGAAAAAACGGGTGAAATAAGTAAAATGTTTTTTTTTTCGCTCAATACATTCATAGTTTGCTCAAAATCATTTTCAGTTATGTCGATTACTACAAATTTCATGCTGAACAGTATCGATCAAGTATCAACCATTATCACATGTGCCATAGCTTTTATTCGAACAAATTGTAAATTTTTGTGCATTATATCCTTGAAAACAGTGCATACATGGACGGTGTGATCTTCCTTTTCATTGCCAGTCTTTTTTGTGAAAAATTTTAAGATATGAATATCTTAAAGAGCCAAATTATCGGGTGTTTTTTTTGTAAATACATGACAAAGCCGACAAAAGCCTATTGACTTCGCTTCACACATTTCACACACTTGACTATGGGCTTTTCGTAATGCATAATTTTTTTAATTGTTTCAAGGACTTTTGAGTTGGTTAGAAAAATAATATCAAACATGAATTAATAGTCTAAAAAAAGCATAGTGTATCTAAATATCATCGAGAAAAAATTATTCTTAGGACTTATGTGGGTGTATTTCTATTTCAAATTGAGAAGCTACTCTATTTAAATTAAATTAACACCAATGTTGAAGTGTATATTAAACTTATAGTTCAGGTAGGGCAAACATAAAATAGTTAGAGGGGATAAAAATGATAAAAAACAGAAAAACGCCAAGAAAAGAAAATCGACGAAGAAAATCTAAAATCGGGGCTCTAGAGCCGCTAGATAATCTTGTTAAAAATTGAATGATATGTGTCTCGATGTTATAGCTTGAAAATCCTAGGAGGCGATAGATTTTTACAGTACCCCCTATTCGGCCGTTTTCCAGGAATTTCGTGTTTTCTTTTTTTTTTCGAAAAATTCACACGAACTAAAAAATTACTAATTTCTGTTTTACATATGTGTACAAAGTTTCAAAGCGATTCGTCCGTAAATAAAAAAGTTTTTTGGGAGGGTATACGATCCCCTTAACGCGTTGAGGGCGGCACGAGCCGCCAGGGTCACCAGATGGCCGAAAAACGGCCAAAGTGCGCGGACAAAAAGGCCTATAATTCAATATTTAAGAGAAAATTTGTAGGTTCCGGTGCAAAAACTAAATTTCCATTCTTTTCGTACTTTCTTAAATATAATAAGGAAGTACCGACATCATAAATTTTTGCCGGACAATGATATCAAAAAAACTAAATCGCGGAATTTGTCCGGAAATAATATGCGTTTAAAAATTACTTTTTAAAGACAACACTTCCAGAGAATCCAGTGTCTCCAATCTTAAAGATGTACCATGAATTTCTCATTTAATTTTCGAAAATTAAAAAAATTAATTTTTCAATTTTTTTAATATATAAATTTTTTTGAAATTTAAATTTTTTCAAAATTATTTATTCTATTAATTGATTCATGCATTGCCTCTGACTTCACACAAGTGTACAAAATTTCAGATCAATTAGACAGGTAAAAGTGTGTCAAATATCAGTTATAAGATTTGTAGCTGGCAAAATTATTTTTTCAATTTTTTTAATATTGAAAAAATTTTTTTTTTAATTTCTAAAATCATTTATTTCGACATTTGATTCATGCATTGTCTCCAACTTTACACAAGTGGGCAAAATTTCAGATCGATAGGATAAGTAGAAGTGTATTAAATTTCGATCACAAGATTTGTAGCAGACAGACAGACAAACAAGAAGTGAAGTTAAAGAGAAGTGTTGTAAAAAAGACCCTTTAACCTGCCGTTGAGTCGTGCCGTACTCAACATGTTAATAAGTATTCCCTTTTTAGCTTCTATCTTGTATTATTGTTTTTAAAGTTCAAACGTTCGATTTGTTGCATTCTTAAGTTTTCTTTAAAACCCACATTTAACTCTACGTTTTTTTAGCCGTGTTTTTTTTACGTTAAAAAGCCCAGCCTGGGAGGATAGGTGAGCAACTCCCCGGGCAGGCGCCCAGTGCAACCCTGGTTCTAACCTTGCGGGTTGTATTGCCGGTCTTAGGCTGCCCTCCTGCGCGGTTGCTGTAGCCCACGTCTCCCTCCGCCGCCACCGTCTGCACCCTCAGCAGCTCAATTGGCCCCGCGTCCTGTCAGAGTGTAATTCTTAATTAATTTCAGATTTAACATCCTTTATCCTGTTGATGTTTCCCTTCATTATGCTTCTTTCCTTCACTGGTTGTTGTTCATTGATGTGTATCAATCAGAGGTTGTTCATTGATCTGTATCAATGAGATATTCTATTCCACGATTGCATATATTTTTCGGACAACTGTTTTTTTTTCAAAAATATGTTAATGCACTCCCAACTTTGCGTTAAAAATAATGAATTGGATGTGATTTGTATTTAAATTGTGAAAAATCTTTGATAAACGAATTTTAGTTTGAGCATAATTATTTCTATTTATAATGTAATCGCTGAAAAAAATTACTTAAAATTTTAATGAGAACGTCGCGGAGACCAGTACTCCAGTCCCGTGGTGCTATATATACAGCCTGAGTTCAAACAAGGAACTTTGGGTAAAAATTTAAATAGTCTATATAAAGACTAATTTTGAGTAGATTAATAGCAGGGAAAATAAGCAGGCAAATATATAAATTAACAACTTCCTCGTAATGAGATTCGATGCGTAATTAGAAGTAGCTTTTTGTTAGAAATTCCAGATTCTCAGTTCGGAAGCATCTCAAATGAAAGTTGTGAGTTTCGTGAATTAATACGCAAATGCTATTTTTCGTGTTTATTTAAAATTTTATTTTAACTTATTATGTTTAATTCATGTTTAAATTCTATACTAGTAAATTTCTATGCATACCTGCTGTTGAACTTTTAAAGTGAGAGAAATGCCGATATTCGAAACTTTTTCAGTGGAATATGATGAATTTTCCTACTAATTTTTATCATATTCAACCGTTTTTAGTTTGCGATTAAAACAGTTAAGTTATCTTAATCGTAATTTTTAAGATGTTTTAATAAATTCTGTATACATTCAGCTTTGATAATGATGAAAATGAAGTCAGCATAAACTAACCTTTTTCTTGCGGTTTTCCTGAGATTGCTGCTTCTCTGAGTGTCCGGCGAGCTGTGTTCAGTGCAGTCAGTTTTAATTTATTAATAAGAAAACAGTTGGATGCGACATAAGATATTTTACGACCATGCAATAGGAAACACGAGTTGAAGCGGTTCCCCACTTGACCGTATTTCATTTGCTGTAAAACGAAGTGATGTTCAAAGCTCTCATTTTGTACAACTTCACAGCCTTGAAATATAGGACATTTAACCCTGTGTAAGCTAACAATATCTAAGGAGATCACTTTGAATCGACAATCAAAGAACATTATCTTAACGTGCCCAACGCGTTTATAGAAATAATCGTAACTAATTACCCTGCCCACTATTATAAAGTAGATATCGCCTAAGATTATGTCGTAGAGATGTGGGTGCACGCAATTTTCTTACCTAATATTTTAACGAATTAATCACAAAAGATTAACTTATAGTGATGCAGGTACCCGCCTTACCCACTAATCGAAAGAAGCAATAGAACAAGGTACATGAGAAGCATTAACCCACCCACGAGGGTATGTAGATTGTGCCAGGTAGTCTGGAGTTGACCATCTTCTTGTTGGCGAGGTAGTTGGCGAAGGTAAACTCGAGCAATGCTCCAAAGACCATGCACATGCACATGCCCACCCAGATGTCGATTGCCTTGACGTGATTAATTCATAAACATGTAACAATATGAGACAAAAAAAATTACATGGTTTTGGTGGATTCAAAATATGGTTTACACTGGAAGTCAATTAGAAATGACCGCATGATACAGATATGGCTCATTTTCTATGTATGCCTCAATGATGCTTATTATTAATATAAATTATTATATTAAGTTTTTTAGTACGATTCAAAGCCACAATACCATAAAAAGTCATGAGCCTAAAGATTAGTAAAAAAAACTTTTATTCCCACTGAAAAACCTAAATTTGCCGGGATGTTAGGAAATTCATGGTAAAATAATCAAATGCAGACTTAGCACGGAAAGAAACTCGTTCAGGCATCAAAAAATATCCAAGTTCGGGCGACAAACATGCCTAAACTTGAGTGAATTACTCAAACTTAAATGAATGTCACAGCAACTAATAACAAGAAGTTACCATAATAATCCTCAGTTACAGCGGAAGAAATCTAATGCTACAAATACGTTTAACGGTTTAGGTAACGCTTTATTTCGGCTGAAAAACGTTAAACCTAAATGACGCGCTGTTCCTATGTAGACAAGCACTTCAATGTATAGGTAAATTTACACCTGAAAAGTTAGTCATGAGAAGTTCTTTACTTGAACGGAAGGTTATTCGATTTACAATGCAAAAACGTTTCCCTCAATTCATTCCTATTGGATTCGGGCGTAGCTATTTAGAGTTTCTTATTCATGTTTCGTTTCTTACCATTTTCACCCTAACATATGAGATTGGAGGCAAGGTTTGCCGAGTCCTAGCAGCTTTTTCACCTCAACATATGAGAATGGAGGCAGGGTTTGCCGAGTCATCAGCGATTCACCTTCACATATGAGACTGGAGGCAGGGTTTGCCGAGTCATCAGCGATTCACCTTCACATATGAGACTGGAGGCAGGGTTTGTCGGACCGCAGCAGACAAGGTAGTTAGAGTGAGCAGAGTTGTAACCCCTAAAGTAACCCTGCCAGGTACAGCGTTAGGGTCGAGCCAGAAGGACACCCAGGATATGGCGACGATCATGATGGTGGGAATGTAGGTCTGTAGGATGTGGTAGCCATTCTGGCGCCGCAGCGTAAAGCTCGCAGTCAGGCCGCTGTAGCTGCCCACGAATAGACCTGTGGGTGAGGAATAGTCTTGGGTGAGGATGTTTCGGTATTAAAGAAAATGTAAGATTACTTCAGAGTTCAGATTGTGTAACTTAGACAGTAACACCATCTGAAAACGATTGCAATAAAAGTGAAACACCAAATAATACGTAAATGAATCGGTATGCTACTCACTAAATTCATTCACCATAATATTCAGTTGTTCATAAAAAATCATGAAAGTTACTACGCATCTAAGTTTAGTTCTGAATTTCTTTTGGAATTTCTTACGGCACATAAGGGTACGTATATTGGATCTAAGGGCTGATCCAATGAGGATCGTTTCACCTTCAGGCACATTATATGAAATATGTGCAATATAAGTGCTGGTTTAGTAAGGATCATCTCACCTTTGGTTAAGGTTGAGTTGTGCTCGTATGTAGAGTTTGCGACGAGGTCGAATTCAGCAATTTCTATGTCGCCCGAAATAACGATGGGCTGCTCAGCGAACCATTTGTATCGAACCACGGAAATCTCGTTCGAATCTAACGAAATTTCCAGCAGTTGAAATAAGAAGTATTCAAATTCTGCGTTCAATCGTAAAGCACAATAATCAGACAAGGCATTATAATAGCGGTTTCAGCGTTTATTAGGCCGTTGGCCTGTCGCCGATTCTTAAAATCACAGAACATTCACAGCTCGATGCGGTCTCGAACACGCAACTCACTGCTTCAATTTTTTTTACTTAACCGCCCGGCCTCCTCGCCGATTCTGACCAGAAACTGGCGCACAGAGCTGGGATCGAACCCGCGCCTCTCTGCGCCAATCATGGCGCTCTGAACCAGGGTTGCCAGATGGCTTAAAAAATGGTGAAGTCCGAGGACAGAAAAGGCCTATAACTCAATTTATACTATTAATTTATAGGTTCCGTTTTAAGAATTACATTTTCCTTTATTTTCGAACTTTTTGAATTTAATAAGGAAATACCGCCATCATAAATTTTAGAATCGGGATCGTTTTCTTGGTCGTATAAAGAACATTTAAAGTAACATTTTCCTGAAAGAATATGATATAATATATACTCAAAGACCGAATTGCAATCAATGATAGAATAATGACAAAAATCCCCGTTGCAAATATATCGTAGAGAAGTAAACTCACACGATGATAGTTTGACGTAGCATTTCTGGGCATCGAACGGGTACAACTCGAGCTCCAAGTGGCAAGACAGTCTCAGCGTAACTCTAGAAATAATAAGGAATTAGTAATGGAAGAAAGCAAGAACGAAATTGAATCATAAATAAAAGTAATTGATTTATGTATGCCATTTAAATATCTGCTGCTATTTCAACAAAAAACGGACAAACAAAATAGCGCACCTTTACAGCGTTTACCTTCGCTCACGTTCGATGCACAATACAATATAGTACAACAGAGAAGCAAACTTTTCAGGTGCTGCAGTTCAGTGGTACAGTACTGGCGCGCAGTGTATAGCAGTACACTGCTGCAGTTCAGTGGTACAGTACTGGGACGCAGTGTACAGCAGTATACTGCTGCAGTTCAGAGGTACAGTATTGAGCCAGTAAACTGTTCTGCACTCTAGTACCGAGATTAAAATCGCCGTTCTCATAGACCCTCAGGAGCTGCTTAGGCTATTCACTTCACGCTATATATGACGTCACCGTTCTCATAGACCCTCAGGAGCTGGTTAGGCTATTCACCTCACGCTATATATGACGTCGCCGTTCTCATAGACCCTCAGGAGCTGGTTAGGCATGGTCACGCTGTGGATGTGAGCCTCCTTGACGTTCTCAAAGTACGTGTCAGGCTTCCAGATCTTCTTGTGCAACTGGATAATAGATTATTTAATACAAACGTTAATTTACATGAAGACTGAGAGGGAGAACAAGATTCGTAAATATTCCGTAGTTTACGTTTTTATATTTTCTAGGAGCTAATTATAGCTCAAGATCATAATTAACATTTTTAATACAATCTAAGAATGTCTGTAGGCGTTCTTACTTAAATGACACAATACAGTATGGTGAGCGCGCTTCATAACATCACATCAGGGTCTATTAGTGAAGTGCTCACCTCGAGGTCCATGATAGTGAAGTGCTCACCTCGGGGTCCATAATAGTGAAGTGCTCACCTCGGGGTCCATTATAGTGAAGTGCTCACCTCGGGGTCCATGATAGTGAAGTGCTCACCTCGGGGTCCATGATAGTGAAGTGCTCACCTCGGGGTCCATGATAGAGAAGTACTCACCTCGGGGTCCATGATAGTGAAGTGTTCAGCCTCGGCTGAGTGACGAAGGCGAGGATCGTTCCAGCGCTGTCGCAGAAACACGTCGATTTTATAGTCCTGAAATAATAAGAATTTTTATGAAATTTCTGCTGCTGCATCATTGTACTGATTATATGAATGGTTAATATGATAATCCAATATACTTCTACAACGGGCTTTACGCTTTAAACAGGAAGAATTTCTATTAGACCCAATGTTCTAGAAACTGCGTTTTATGGAAAAGTGATAGATGACAATGTTTTGGAAAATATTCATTTTTAAATATCAGAGGTTATCTGAATCAATGCGGTTTTTAATAAATTATTTTCATGAACAGGTTAACGAGTCTGAGAATTTTTGTATCGATTTTTACTGTAACCTGCGACTTGACTACATCACTGACCATATAAGTCATGACATCACTGACCATATAAGTCATGACACCACTGACCATATAAGTCATGACATCACTGACCATATAAGTCCTGTCTCTTATACACATCTAGATGTGTATAAGAGACAGCACAAACACACTGCATACACACAAACACACTGCATACACACAACACACTGCATACACACAAACACACTGCATACACACAAACACACTGCATACACACAAGACACACACACAAATACCCTACATACACACAACACACATACAAACCAACACAACACCATTAGGCATCACAGATGTGCAAACATCTTGTCTTGCTTCACAGCCAGAGCACTTGTGCCAGCCCTGCTGCCCTCCATACATCGACGTACAGACACTTCCATCCAACTTACAGGCTGCCACACCCATGCACTTTACGGACACTGACTTCCATCCAACATACAGGCCACCACATCCATGCACTTTACAGACACTCACTTCCACCCAACTTACAGGCCACCGCATCCATGCACTTTACAGACACTGACTTCCATCCAACATACAGGCCACCACATCCGTGCACTTTACAGACACTCTCTTCCATCCAACTTGCAGGCTGCCACATCCGTGCACTTTGCAGACACTGACGCATTGGTGGCTGTTAAGCCACTACCTGTTTTCAAGTTTATATTAATAGATTTCAATGAAGTTGATATTTTGGAAAAAAATCCTGGTTGTTCAAGAAAGGAAACCTTCAATACAGACTATTCACAATTCTAAGTCTGAGCTTTAATAAATATATTAGATTGAGTAATGGTACTTTTAAGCCCGTATTCCTGTGACTATATAGGAGACGAAATTTAATGTTCCTTCAATTATCAAGTTACCTTCCATTAAATTAAGCGCAGTCTTTTGGCAAAGTCGCTGTATATCTCATTTTAAATTACTACCGGGTATTTCGAAGGCTATTGCTCACCGAAGCTGTAGCGCCAGGTCACATTAACAGCCTAAGGGGTTAAAAACTCACCTACTAACATATACACTTTGGCGTTAAGTAGCCGTAATTATGTAAAAAAATAAAGACTAAGTAGCCTCCTACTTATGCTACCAGCCATAATGGCTAACTACTCCTACTTGTGCCACCTGCCCTAAAAGCTAAGTAGCCTCCTATTTGCATCAACAGACCTACAGGCTAAGTAGCGTTCTACTTATGACTCCAGACCTATAGGCTAGTAGTCTCCAATTTATGTCACCAGACCTAAAGGCTAAGTATCCTCCAACTTATGTTAGCAGGCCTAGAGGCTAAGTAGCCTCCTACTTATATCACCTGCCCTAAAGTCTAAGAAGCCTACTTAACATGACTCACCACAACAAGAGCGACGCCAGTCTGACGAGTGCAGCTCTGATACTCATGTTGCGGCCAGGATACGAGTTAGCTGTTAATTAAGTATATTATGTCATAGTCAATTTGTCTTAAAGTATTACTCATAAGCATTGCGCAGTTCAGAATTAAGCTCTATTCTTGACCTAACATTGATTACTTAGTAAAAGTCGCGTTATCTCAAATATTCCCAGTATTGACGTAACATTTAATGAATGCTAAAAATTTAAAAGCAAAAATAGTCCACAAAAATGCATATCTTTATAGAAAACGTTTCGGAGTCCAGCTGCATCGTCAGTTCGTAGAATCTAGAATTCATATAGGAAATTATAAATTAATACAATTTTTCATTTGTTTTAATTTGTCACTTACTATTTGAATTTTAGATTCTACGAACTGACAATGGAGCTGAACCCCAAAATGTTTTCAATAGAGATATGAATTTTTGTGTACTAGTCTTCACTTTTAAATTTTTAGTTTCCTTGCGAGTTGAACAAACAAGTGACATCAATCCTTTAATGAATGTTGCGTTGATCAGTAGCATTCACGGACGGCCAAACGAATTTCTAGCATTCAATGAATGCTGCATTCATCATAAATACATACAGTATCTGATAAACATTCACAAGCGTTGTTCATCATTAAATTTACATATATACTCTTTGTTTACCAAAATATTCTCTTTTCTTTCAAGTTATTTATTTTCATTCAAATGAAATTCATTGATTGATGAATGAACGAGACAGTCAAACACGAGTTGCTGTTGCCATGGTTCTTGCCTTATATGAGTTAGGAAATTTTCCTTTGAAACAATGCAAGTAATCCTAGTTATTCTGAAAACACTTTTATAATAAACAACAAATTTAGCTAAAAATATCAAACATTTCGAGGTGCTGGTGAATCTATTAAAGTTATTTACATTAGAGCTACAATGCCTCGACAGTTCAGGGCCCAAGCAAGTAATATAGTTTTCAGTTAAATAAGTTAGCATGAACATAGAAAACATATACGACATCCGTCCCCTCAGGAGCCTATACTGCTGTACAGAGCACAAGGCACGCTGCATACGTGAGCACCGCCACCGTGAAACTGGAACACGTGTCCCGGCACATCTGTCAGCCCACACCTCTTGGCCCACACCTGTTAGCCACATCTATTAACCCGCACCTGTTGGCCCACACCTTTTGGACCACACCTGTTAGCCCACACCTGTCAGCCCACACCTGTTAGCCCACACTTGTCAGCCCACACCTGTTAGCCCAAACCTGTAGGCCCGCACCTGTTTACCTCAAAATTTATCAACGATGTCATAACATCATAAACTTGTCGGCAAAACACGCTTGAGTGCGCAGAAATACTTTAATTTTATTCACATTCACAGAGAAATTGATTGCAGGACGAATAAAGGTTTTCTGGACGCAAGACAATTGTCAGTAAACTAAATATTTTCGGTATTCAAGCAAAGACAGGGGATAACTCATTTTGTATTTCAAAAAGTAAAATCGAAAATAAAAAAGCAACATGAACCAAAAGATAGCACATATCAAAGAAAATTCTTCCGACGCAACTGCAATACCAAAATATCTCAGTGACGACGATATTATAATTACATTTATAGAGCTAAAGTTTTCCCAAATATTTTTCGTTACTATTAAAATTAATATGATTTTATTCGAAATCTTTCATGAATGTGACAATGTGAGTTGCAGGGCGTTCGCTGTAACATGTCACGGTTCAGTGTCACGTCACACAAATAGCGGTAACCTAGATACTGCGACTGTAAGTAAGTGGTCTGGTGCAACAAATCGGGCGGCAACAAAGAAATATGTACGATACAATCAAAGAAAATGATTTTATTGTTTTTTTATTTTTTATGATATTGGATTAGAGATTTTGTTTATGAAATATTTACCGAATATAAATTTGCATGTTTTGCTGGTAAATAATTTCAAAATTGGTTATTTCTTCAGGTATAAGGCCCCTGCCCGGATGATGTAAAACCTAGTCTTTTAGTACAGTTGTGCGCGCTGCGCATCTGCGTACGTTGGAATGACGTCGCATATCTTCTACATCTGAGTTTCTGAACACCGCGGCAGGAGCTATCGTCTTATCGTCCATGCTGAACAGTGCGACGTGTCTGTATCGTAGAGTGATTTCAGGATACTTGGTTCCACTTCTGGCTGCTCGGATTCGAGAATTTTGGAGGCTCTACATATCATCAAACGAAAACCGTGTCTCAATAATGCGTTTAGTTCATATCCTATTGAAATATTGAATCGCTAGGCTTCTATGTTTTAGTGTTTTTTCTTAAGTTTGATTCTTTTTGTTACCCCTATGACTAAGTTAGTATAGTTTAGTATAGTAGGGTAACATGGGGCAGCGAGCCCATTGCGGGTCATGGGCCCATAGCGAGTTTCTCGCTAAGTATGGCAGATATTGGTCCGTGTTCTCTACCACCGGTCGACAGTTTCAGTGGGATGGAGTGTACGGATTTACGTCTTGCTAAGTGTTTGCGTTATTAAAGTTATTTGTGAATAACTGTTTTATTATTATTATTATTATTCCACGAAGAGATTGTCGTGGCGTCTCGTTCGGATCGAACTTCGAGGGCACGTTACAAGTGGCTAAAAAAGACACGAGAGGATAAAAACAGATGACGTCTATGCAAAAACAGAGGACATATGCCAAGACTAGCGACGTCTATGCTAGGACAAACAACACCTATGCTAAACCAGTAATATACATAATAGATTAGATGACGGCTAGGTCTAAGATTCAAAGGCTCTACGGAAAAGTTCTGTTTTTAGGCTTCGACGAAACAACGGCAGCGAAGAAGCAGATGTCACCGATGCTGGCAGACCATTCCATGTTCTGGCCGCAGCGACCGGGAACGCCCTGTCGCCGACTGTGGACAGACGTTAGGACGGGAGCCCAGATAAAATTTTTTTTGCTGCTAAATAAAACTGTTTTCGATTACTGTACATGAAGCTTTTGAAATAACTATGAATTATATTTTGAAAGCAATATATATAGGGATAATTTTGAGATCAAGTTTAGACCATTAGCTATTAAAAAAAATGTTGATACGATATAAATTGAAATGATACCTAGTGGGGCAACGGGCCCACGCGTGTCACGGGGCAAAGGGCCCATGGTGAAGTCTTGTGTTATACATTATTAGATTTGTCTCAATGACCTTCTCAAAACTATGACTAGCTTTTTGAATTACAAATTACACTTCATATTGCATGATTTTTTTGATTTGCCGTCTCAAGGCAGCAGATTCAGTTTTTAGTTATGCGTATTTATGACCTCTTATCGAGTTATTGACTCTTACCTTGCCAAAAGTTGATTTCAGTCAACACAAATGAGCCAAAAGTTGATTAGTTTTTATGGTGTTGGCTGAAATCACGATTAGGTACGAATTCTCTGCACATAATATCTGGATTATGGACGAAACTGGAACGAAGTTTTTTCTGATCAACTAAATATATTTTTTCTAGTCATGGATACATTTCATGTCAAGGACGAATTTTTTATCGCAAGGATATATTTTGCAAGTCAAGGATATATATTTTTATGTCAATGAAATATTTTTCTTTACGTCAGTGATAGATTTTTTAAGCCAAAAGTATATTTTTTCAAGTTAATTAGTATAAGATAGCAGAATAAGTTTGTTTAAACACGAGTGGTTAATGACCAGAGAAATCATCGATTTAAATTTTCAGGATCGAACAATATTCTTCAGCTGACGTTGGTTGATAAAAATTCAGGTTCAAGGAAGTAAATTAATTTATTAACGACGTTTCGAATGTGACATCATTCATTTTCAAGTTATTGGAAGCATTGAATACTGAAATTTAGGCGGAAATAAGTACATGATACACGGACTACATTGGAGGATACACGGACTACATTGGAGTAATTGGAGTAACTTCAACGACATTGAGCAGCTGTTTTTCCTGCCACCTGAGACAATTTCGCAACCAGACCAGGTCTCAAAAATAACTTGAAAATGAATGATGTCACATTCGAAACGTCGTTAATAAATTAATTTACTTCCTTGAATCTGAATTTTTATCAACCAACGTCAGCTGAAGAATATTGTTCGATCCTGAAAATTTAAATCGATGATTTCTCTGGTCATTAACCACTCGTGTTTTTCAAGTTAAGGATATGATTTTTTGAGTTGTTAATAAATGAATGAATGTCATATTTTTTATTACATTTTTCTTATTTTTAACTGTAAAGTGTTGTTTTATCATTTTTAAACGAAAAACATGCAATTGTGGTAAAGGGACCAAGAGTGGGCGCCTTGCCCCAAGCCCATGGGCCCAGTGCCCCAAGGGTGGGGCAATGGGCCCATTTTGACACTTTCTACAAAATAGTGTTTCATTAAAAATTGAATAACTCTATAGGCGTCTAATTCACATCATACATTCATCATTAGTTGTACCTGGCTTTAAACAAAACAAAGAACCACCTCGTATCAATTAAAACTTCCTCAGAAATTTAGTTTAAAAAAAGGGGGGGCGCGCTGCCCCACGTTGCCCTATCTTCGGCATTGAAGAATAGGCCTGGACAGGCCTGTTGCCGATTCTGGTACTTTTCTTGACTATAGGCTTTTTGATCAAATCTTTTCAACTGACGCTAGATTTAAAATCGCTTCTAGATTTCAGTTGTGCCGTAGGATACGAGGCATTTCAAGACTAAACATATGCTCCTGCATGGCCTTGTCTAGTCTGTTCTTGAACGCGTTCATACTCGGAGCGTCAACAATATCTTCAGGGAGGCTGTTCCACATGTCGGTGACTCGAAGCGAGAAGAAATGTCGTCACGTGGATAAGTTGCACAAAAAAATTGATACATGTCAAAAAATCGACCAACGAGGTGTGAGAAAATTGGTTCAATTGAGTGACCGCATCGCAAATTGTGTAATAGTGCGACCCAAAGATCAAATCTAAAAATCTGTATATTTCGCGCTGTCAGCCGACAACGCTATAAGGTTGCTCATTCAGTTGCTCCTCGATAATGCCATGGAATGTTTCATTGTACAGAGAAATTTACTGTTTTCAAACTGATAAACTGTGATGGGGAATTATCACTGTTTTTCGGTTTCTTCCGCTCGAATCTTGAAACTTAGGTATCAATTAATCTAATTCGCAAAAAAAATCTATTCTAAAAAGCAGCTTTTTCCAGTATCCGGCATGTTCGGGTTTACATGTAATGAAATGCCAGATATGTCACTGCTTGATATCCTCTGCAGCAGCGTCTCACTCATGACCAGGGAAGGAATATCTAAAGGATACACAAAGATAGGTTCTGCTTAATATTTAAATTTAAAGCTTCGAAAAAGGTAAGAAGTAATTGCATGAGCCAACATACAAATTTTACGACTTGATAACAGAAACAAGTTAAATAATTCACTGCCGAAAGTAATGTTATGAAAATACACATGCTTATCAATGAAGGCCTCTACGCCGTTAAAATTATTCGCTCTCAAAGGATATTCATTATTTAGGAACCTCATGCTAATTAAAATCTAAATGTAAAATGAAAATTTCTAGTTGTGGTTGATTATGTCTTCTAGTCTAACCCTAACTTTGGATAGAGATATTATATCCATTGCAGAATATTGATGGTTGACAACTCGATGCAGTCCGCAGCAGCGTGAACATCCCTACAAGCTGCCGTGAGGTGCGCGGCGTTAGGCTCGTGGTACAACACCCGAATATTTGGTATCTTCTGAAACAGCTGACGAGCGCCTACGGCAGAGAGATGATCTCTCGGGAGGACAAGCTCCACACTGGAATGGTATATAACAATTAACAAAACAATATTTATTTCGAATTACAAGGAAAGTTCAGTCGTGATTTTATTTTGCACAATATTGTGTACGAATGAATCGTCATAAATAGAGTTTAAGTAATATTGGATAAAATGGACCAGCCGCCTACTTTACATATTAGATAAGGGCAGCAAAAAAGATGAGAAATGTAACATATTTGCTTATATTGTCACTTTGTGGCTAGTGCTATTTCGTTGCAACGTAAATAAAATAACCGGTTAGTATGAATCAGATACTTGACTTATGCTTAGGTTGGTAACTGTCAAAGGGTGAATTTCGTATTTCAAGAATACAAAAAAAAAGCGGTTGGTACGTGACAAAAATGTGATTTTCCTCAGGAGTATTTGCTGAACTTTTCCCTGCTGCAGCTTCGCCCAAAAAACGTCACAATTAAAGGGACTGTCGAATACTAGCAAGCATTCTATCATCTGGGCGATACGGGCAGCTCTGCATAAGGCGAATTGAACTTTATATTGAGTTTTTATGCATTCAATTCAATCGAGTCTCGATGAACTCAATTGCATTGAGTCGTTTACATCAGAGCACTTTTGGAGCATCAATAAGTGCATTTCAGCGCAAGTTAGTGTAGGCATTGCAACAACAAAATATTACAAAACATTCTGGTTAACTTGCATGTTTAGGTGTTCGATATTGTCTCGCTGCGGAATACGGTTGACAACCAGTAACATTTACGAACATGTCTGGAATAATAATAATCACCTTATCACTTACCAGCGGTAGGGTTAGAATGCAACTCATGTAGATATTAAAACCGAACTGCACGACACATACCCTTCATGGCTGTTACAGGAGGAGGATAGGATGAATGACACTTGGCATCGGAAGGGCAAGCATGCAACTCATGTACATATATTGTACATGTGCCAATCCTACTGTGAAACACATACTTTTGATGACGGTTGTCGGAATATGATGACAGGATGTGTGACAACCAGTCCACGTCCTGATCATTGAGGTCGGGAAAGTGCCAGCGGTTGACCTCAAACCCGCCTTCCTTTAAGGTAGTGCCAACGTTGTTCGGGACGCCCTTGGCGCAGCACACACTTGCTGTTGACCAAATTACATCAACATTAAAATTGTACGCTATTATTCTTATTATTCATCAGTCACATTAGTATTAAAGCTTTTATAATTCTCGTTATTTGCAGCTTGATACCAGTTCTTTCCATTGCTAAATAGCCTGCTATTTTCGTTTGAATTCAACTAGAATTATTCTTCAGGAATAGCAACTTTTAACTAACATGAAAAGTTCTGGACACTTCCTATCAGTTTCAATCTGCATCAATACTGGAGATCAATAATTAGTATGGAATAAAAATAAAAACGTGTATAATTTCTTCCTCATCGAACGCTTTCGTCTATTTTAACGTCTGATGTTGGCCATGTTTGTTTAAGATGGCAATGATTGAAAAAATTCCATACGGCTTCAACAATACAGTCGTTTGAAAGGCTAAAAAATTATTAGAAAACAATATGCATATATGTATGAATATACATAAAAACAATTAAATACTCACTGATAGTATCTCTAGCATAGTTAGCAAAATGCCGTACATCGGCTGGGCAGTCGAGACGAATGTTGCAGTTTTTGAGGTAGACGAAGCCACCCGATCGGGCTATGAAGGGGTGGCCGTACAAGGCAGTCAGCTTTCCACTGGCATAAAATGAATATAAGATATAAACATACAACATAGAAAGATATAACATTGGCAAACCATGAGATTTCTTCATGGTAAAGGGTAATCAGATTTCGAGGAGATTTCATGAGAAGTGTGTGAGAAATTTCTTTGAAGCTGATTTTTCTCAAGCATTTCGGGACTTTTTGACTTTGAAAATGTTTTCACGTATGTGACATTTAATGTTTACGAATTTAATTAAACAGGGTGACTTTAGTAGGAACATGGAATAGGAATATATTAAATTTTCTACAGGATTGTTTGTTGGCATCTGTCACGGACATGACTGAAGTGCTGCAAGCAGCACGAAGTGTGAACTGTATTCGGGGGCTAAAACAATGCGGTCACTTATGAGAGTCCACGACCCACCGTAAATTATAGACGATATTCCCCATGCCTCCATCCGACTGTCCTGCCGGCCTCCAGAAGTAGTCCAGGGGCAGCAGGCTGATTTTGCCGCTGTGGCGGGCGGCGAGGCGGGACAGCAGCTCCCCCAGCCCCGGGATGGGGCGGGTGTGGGTGGACAGCACCACGAGGCGACTGGGCTGCCTGTTACTGGCCAGGCTTGCGAGGGCTCGCTCTCCTTCATCGCTGCTGGAGATGATCCAAGGTTTGCCAATCGGCATGAGCTCGCACGTCTTTAACTGTAGAGCAGGGAATATTCCAATCGGATTAATTCTCAGAATTTAGAAACATTATTACATTCACATTCCTACTGATAGGACTTTTTAATGTTCTTTCACACCTGAGAATGATTTCAAGTAATTGTAGTTTTGCTGAGTCTTGACTCATTGCACAAGTTGACTGGTAGGGCTGTATTATTGACCTGGCCAATATTATAACTATGGTTAAGAAAAAAGTACTTAAATTTGGATTAATGAGAAAAAAGTACTTAAATGTGGTTTAAGAAGAAAAAAGTACTTAAATGTGGTGTGATAGCTAGATAGGAAGCGTGACCGTACGTAATACTGTAATTTGTATATTTTATTCCGAACGAAATTTTCAAAATGCTATTTTGCATCCTATATTACATGGAGATTAGTAACTTTATTGCTGAACAGAAACTTCCCAAAGGTAGGAAACAGAAAACGTCCAATTTTTACGCTAAATATCCGTTTTTAGACAAAATATTTATATATTCGGTTTGTTCATCGTAGATCACAAAATAAGGTTTAGGCTTTATTTGATAATTGATTTGATCAATAATAATTAAGTTGATTAATTAACAGAAGTAAATGTTCTATATACTGTTAGGAAAAATTTCCCTCACCGCGGCGTTAGATGAGTCAGTCTGAATACACGATCGAACAATATTTTCATGTGCCAAGCTAAAAAATTTAAACTCAAACAAAAGAATTCGGCTTATTCTCAGCGAAACGCTCTACGAACAAGACGCGATCAAATGCGTTCTTTTAAACAATGTTATTCGTCGTAATAGATATCATACAAACATTGGCATTTAAATTTTGCTCTTTCAGGGCAAGGATGCCTTCATAGCAATCCCATGCATGAACCAAAAATATTCATCACAAATATCCTTGTATTATATCAAATATTTCACTCGCCTCTAACGAAGCACTTGTTTTAGCGGCAGCATCCAGTAATGCCTTGATTTCAGGTAGTTTTCCATTTTCTCCAAAGTTCAATTTCAGACGGCTGAGAATTTCCTTGCAATCGAGTCTCATGTTTACATCCAGGCTGGTGCCCGAGGCCTCCCAAGCCTGAAGGTCCTGCTCGGTGGAAACTTTCTGTGCCAACAGCAAATCCTTCCAGCCATCAAAATCAGGCTTCAGTTTGATGATGTCATCAATAAAGCCCGATAAACTATCAGATAACGTGACGACCGAACTAACGCTATCGAGTTTGTTCTGCAACGTGGGCCGTATTTTCGCCCAGACGTCATCAGTGTCTTCGTTATCCTGAAGCAGGTCGTCTATCATCTCAATTTTGTGCGTAGCGTGTGTGCCCCTGCTGCACGGGAAGCACACGGACTCCACGCAGTCCACGCAGAGGTAATCCAGCGCCTTCTGGTGCTGGGGGCAAAGCGCTTTTGACTGTGAACCCACCGCACTTGGAAGTGATATCTTATTGGTAGGAATCAATGCGAAGTTAACTGGTAACTGATCAGCATCTTGGGAAATTGGTTCCCTGCATTTCGGACAGTTTTTTGTCTCGGGAACATCGCATAACCGTATAATGCAAGAGAAGCAAAACGTGTGGCCGCAGGTCAGGCAAAGCGGCTTGTGGTTGCCCGAGTCGAATTTCTCGTTACAAACGTCGCACTCTATCGTCGCACTTGCCATCTTGTGAAGAGTTTAAAAGTTTCATGTAACTATTATTGAAGGATGTCCAACAAAATTATAGGTACACTTCACATAAACCTTCTGAAAGATAGTGATCCAGCATCTGTTGGTCTAATACGCTTGTTTGGTCGACATCTTTCCTCGACAATAAAGCAACTCGTTTTACTCTAATTAACTTGGAAGTTATAATGCTACTGCGCAAATAAAGTTTATTTTTGCCTTCCTTAATCCTAAATCAGGCGAGAGACGAAGGCGCTTAAATAAACCCGTACTTTGTTTGAAACTTGCACGTTAACAATGAAACGTGGTGCTTCATAGATGTAATTCTCGTATAAACTACTGAAACTTGTACTGTCTACAAGCCAAATTTCCTGTACTTCGTTCATGTACAATAACACTAATTTTTCATGCCATAAAATTGAGATTGAAATTAAAAAATTAGCAACAATCATTGATAACGCGTGAAAAAATGGTAGTATGGGGAGGTGAAGCACAGATTCTATTCAGACATTATCATGCACCTTCCCACTAATTCATTTTTCCAATTAGTTACATAAGAGAGGTTTCTTCCCAGCGTTCCAGTATTCATTTAACAGCAAATAAATATTTTAGTCATGAAAGTCACTGAAGGCGCATATATTCATGCCGGCGCTATGAGCGCTGATTCTTCTCCGTGCATTTCCTCGACAAATTACGTAAAGAATTTCGTGTTTACATTTTGAATTCCAAAATCGAGTGGCAGATAAACGCTGATAAAGTATATCATCATAAACAATTTACATTGCTGTTATTAGTGTTATTTGCGGATTTTAACAGGAAGAAATTTAGTTACCATTCTTTATATTAAGATTGAATGTACTGCCTTGCCTGTCTGACTTGCGTCTGACATGCAAGTAACAGATGTTACTTGTGAGGTGACGTTATCTTGAGGACATTATCGGGAACACTCAGAGAAATCGACAGACTTTGTCCAAATAGTGACGCACTTATTGCCCTTGTGTGGGCCTTCTTGACTCAGTTTTCTCGGCAAAAGGACGTATCAGTGCTACCTGCAGAAAGTGTGTCAGTTTTTGAACAATATGACCCATTCATTTGAATGAGTGAACTCTGATATTTTTCCGCTTGTAAGCGACAGCGCCCAATAACTGATAAAATGGTGCCTTATGAAATGAGGGTTGTAGAAAATGGCAACTTGCCTTACTGCCTGTGAATATGTTAAATATGAATGTATGACGAAGTAAAAATACAATAAATTACCATTTATGGAGATTTTAAATTGACAATATAGAATTTTCGATCACTAAAATAATACGAACTTGGCACACCTTAATATAATTCTTTATTTCCATTTTTTATTGTTTTATCAAGAATACATTAACACAATGAAAATTTCTCTGGCAATGGAAAGAATAATAAAAGATAATGTACGTAATAAAAAGATAATGAAAGGATTCGGTGGTTGGAAACTGCTGCTCAAGATATATGAAAAAAGTTTTTTTTTTTGTTTTGGCGATGCGTTCTTTAGAAGCGAAAGTTCGATTGACGAGTAATAATGGCCAAGGCTTTTTGTCACTGTACTTTCCGTCTCTGCATTACTTATTAGGATGGGAAGACTTGGGACAAACTCGGGTCTTGAGTCTTAACTCAACGTCTTAACACCCGACCGATCCAACAGCAGAAGCATTATAATAATTAACTCTTATTATTTATTGAATTTTAATATGTTGATAATAAATATTGTGATATTATTTTATGTATATTTCTTATCATATATAATTGTAATAACAACTTAAGAAGAATTCATTATAGTCAATAATTGAGCACAACAAGAATTCGAGGCAACGAAAAGTGAACTGGTCAAAAACTTTTGGATATTTGTATACTCGATTTGATATTACTAATTTTTTTTTTCTCTCCGATATTCAGGAAACTCTTACAGCTTTAAACTTTCCATCAAACGCCACCGTCGCCATGCATGCACATGTCTGCTGGCTGCTGCCAGCGACAGCGAGCACCGCAATGAATAGCTGCTGCAGCGCTGTCAGGCCGCTGAGATCGCAATGAATAGCTGCTGCAGCGCTGTCAGGCCGCTGAGATCTTAGCGCTGGAGTGAAAATCATCAGTAATTCTGGTACCAGTATCAGACCGTCTTGATCAGAGTTTATTCACCCGTTTCTTCTGGTAACAGGTTCAGATAACCATGCTCTGAGTAGACTGGGCTGGAACACTAACCTCAATGCCAGTCTAGTCGCCACAGCACTTGTGCCGCAGACCTTCTATAGATAAGATTCATTTAATTAAAAAAGATTAGCAAGTTTTTCAACGATTCGCACAGTATATATGTGCATGTGGGTCTATTATACTCCCTATGGGTTAGCATGAAGCAAGAGTCAAATTTCAAACGGCCCAGTGTGCGCAACATTCACCACCGCTACCGAGATTAAACTGACGACGTGCGGCGGGTGCACGTGCACCGGTTCAGCTAAGCTGCGGATGATGCAGAAAAATTTCTGGTTGTGGGCAAGAATAATTACTGTAGTCATTGAAATACAACTCCTTATTATAAAATACTAGTTTCGTTGAGCAAAAAATGCACTGTTTTATTGTTATACTTAATCACACAAGACATATCTACTAATTTTTTCTGACATAACTGTGTTTTATCTGGCAATCAGAAAGTTCTTTGTTTGTACAGAAATTTCTGCGCATCTGGCAACACCGCTGCAGCGAAGCCATCACAAGCAGGCAACGCCTGACGTTCAAGGACGTCGACGGAACCCGTAACGAACACGTTTCGTGGACGACTACGATCGCACGACGCCTGTAGAAAACCTTTAAATGATTTTTTATCTTAATTAATTTAACTTTTAAATTGTGAGAAAAATAAATTGTAAAGCAATCTTTGACCCTAAATACACCGTAGCAAAATAACAGTAATCTTAAGTCGGGTATTAACGTATTATATGTAATAGATGTTTTTAAGAGTTTTATTTTCAGTGAAGAATGTGTAGCACTTCTAATTATTTCAGGAAATCACTATTGGTCAACATTAGTTTGAGGGACCGCTCCGGCGATTCTCGAGGCATTTTGAGGATAACGCAAAAGAGAATTCCACTGGAATGTTGTTTATTGCTTGAAATTAACCCAGAAAAACATGGCCAACAACAGGATTTGTGTCTCGCAAATCAACCTTCACAGAAAATAACAATATGATGATTACTTCATCTTCCTATTCATCCTGAAAGAGATCTGTCCCGCTTCGATTCCTCACAAAAGTACTTGAAAAAATCTCTTGCACAATGTCTTTTACTGGTCAATCACATACTTCCAGATGTACGTACCCTTCTGGTTGCACACATTGAAGTTAAATAAATTCATTCACATTCGCAGCATAAATAAATTTGAATATCTATTCAGAATGAGAAGATAGAACCATCATATTGATATTTTCTGTCGGCTAAAGTGGAAGGCTAAATGTAAGCAGCAATCGTAGTGTAGTTCATAAAATTTCCAAACTGCGTATTGACAGTTCCCCATTGAATTGAACAAAGTTTATCCCGTATAATTCATTCGCAAGGTTGATTACAGGCTGTAAACTGACTTCAATGAAGGCACCTACTTTCCTCTAATACCGGAACACTTTTGAAGATGTCGCAATCGCAGCACGAAACATCAATGGTTAGCTTAGAATTATATTTCACAATATTAGCCCCTTGGCTACGACGAATGAAAATATTGCATAGTTAACCCTCTACTTCTTCAAGAGAATGGACAATTTTCTAACAGAAAACTACATGTGTGTCCGTACTCTAGCTGAATGAAAACATTGCACAATACCGTAGCTCAAAAGCGTAGAAATAATATGCGAATGAGGCGCGAAGAATCTCTTACTTACAATTGTCTTGTGTCGTATTTTGTTTAGTGATTTATTCTTGATAAATATATATTCATTAACCAGTATCATTTCAAGAATCTGGGTAAGCCACAGCTGAAATACAGGATGACATCGACAAGCTCCAGCGGTGGCCTGACGACTGGCTTCTGAGGTTTCATCCGCAAAAATGCAGTGAGCCCAAGCTTGGTGCCAAAAGTCTGATGCGAACTATTATATGAAGTCCAAGGATGCCAACGGCGATGACTGCATCTTCAGCTGGCAGAGAACGAGGCAGAGAAGGATCTGGGTGTCACGACAGACAATAAGCTCTCATTCAAACAACATGTGGTTCAAGCAACATCGAAAGCTGACAGAATTGTGGGCATCATTCGCCGCTCATTCACTTGCCTGACGGAAAAGACATTTGTAACACTCGACAAGAGCCTAGTACGAAAAGACATTTGTAACACTCCCCGACCCTTGAGTACGGTCATTCAGTGTATAACCCCCAAACGAAACAACTCTACTGTGAGCTAGAGGATGTCCAGAGACGTGCCACTATACTACTGGCTTCACTGAAGGACAAGTCTTATGAAGAGAGACTGAGAACCCTGGGTTTACCCAGCCTTGAGCACCGTCGATGCCGAGGCGACATGATTGAGGTCTACATATATGATATATTGTACCCAGCGACCTCGCTTCGAACATCCCCCAGCCAACTACGGACTGAGAGGCTCCGCCCTGAAGTTACAGAAAAACAGGTTCAGACTCAACAGCCGAGGCCACTTCTTCACCAACAGGGTAACAACAACCTGGAATAGTCTACCCCAGAGTGTCGTTGACGCCCCATCAGTCAACGACTTCAAAAACAAGCTGGATAATCACTGGGAGTCCCTGCCCTCTCTCTCTATGACCCATCCTGCTACCACGAGTGACTTGGTGCCACCACGCGCACATGCAAGTGCCATGATGCTAGCAGCACAACGAGCGACGAACATGGCCCATGAGGGCCTCAAACGTCGGTTCAGTTCAAGTTCAAGTAAACTTTCGAACTATAAATAATTGCTTTAAAATTCACCGTCACGTTTTTACAATTTTCAGTTGCCTTGTGTCTACTCTAGACATTTTTTGCAGGTGAAATATTTTGAAGGGGATTCATTTGGCAGGCCTCCACGTAAAAAAATCGCAGTTGAGTAGCGATTTTCCAAAATGATTGGTTTTCGCCCCCACCGATTTGTGTATATCACTATTCACTATCATTCCTAACCGTTATTTACATATAAAATCGGCACTGAAAGAGAGTAATTTATCTCAGTTAATGTTTGAAAAAAGGGTGCGGCAAATAAGAAATTAAGTTATTGAAGCGGAATGAACAATATTTAAAGAATCCGAAACCGCGGCGCAAGAAGTGAGGGTAATAATTTTCACGTGAATGCCTGTCCGTCAATATTCTGGACCCAGGAGAGCTTGCTCTCCTCCCTAGAAGGCATGAGCCGCTACCCTGCCTGTGCTGTTGGTCAGTGACTGATTTTTGAAGAGCCTTGAGATCGATGCCAAGTTCCTTAATATAAATATAAATGAAAAGAAGTTCTCATTCACGGTTAGTTGAAATTTAATTTTTATCGAATTATTCAAAAATTGTTGCTTTATTGACAAATTCATTCTCCCTGATGAAGAATATTTCGGTCAGGTCCCAAAATCATTCATCCATTTCAGAACTGAGCCTTACGCGATCACCATGCTTTCCTATGTATAAATTTAAATTCATTTCCGACGGTATGATATCTTTTGACATGTTTAACTGCGTCCACTTAATTTCACCAAATAGATGTTAACCCGCAGCCTTGAGGTTTTCAGCCCTATAGCAGCCATCAAAACGCTAGTCCAGCAATAGCCACCACCGGATGACGACCACCTCTCTACCTTCTATTTCATTGTGTACGGATCCTTCCGTATCGCCCAGTGGACCACAGGATGAAGGCCAAGAGCGGCCAAGAAGGGCCAAGAGCGGCCCGTTGGTCGACCTCGTCAGGAAGAGGCCATCCGTGGAGTCGTGGCACCCACGACGAGCAGCAGACCGGATACGTCGCCTGCTGTC